GAATTCAATACTTCTGGTACTCCGTGATCATGGAAAGAATCTATTAATTTTTTTAAAAATAAGAGTGCTATTGACTCTTACAAAGTGTCACAATAAAAATCTGGAAAATGAAGGTATAAAGACAATTGTGCAAATCCAGAAAACTAATTATACTATTAGCATTAAGGATATTTTAAAAAATTGACTTATTGTATATTGGTTAAAAGCTGGGCTCTGAAGTCACTCAGATAAGTGTTTGAAACCTGGCAAAATAAATCTCTCAGTTTCTTCTTATTTCAAGTGGGGAAAATAATAATACTTTCCTTATAGTGTTAGTGGAAGTATTAAATGAGAAAATGAGCTTAGCACAATACCTGGCATACTGTATCATATAGCGCATGGCATTTAACTATAGTTAAACAATAGATATATTTACAAAGTTGAAATCAGACTTAACAGGGGTGGGAAAAAGTAGAGTTGTATGTGAAATGTATTATTCATTATAATATTATTTATTTGTATTATTTCCATATGACTGTAAATCTACTTTTGCTCACCCCTTATGTACAGCCACATACTGCACAACAACATTTAAGTCAACAATGGACCATATATACAATGGTGGTCCAATATAATTATAGTGGAGCTGAAAAATTCCTATTGCTTAGTGACTGTATTATTCACATGTTTGTGGGGATACTGGTGAAAACAAAGCTACTGTGCTGCCAGTTGAATAAAAGTTTAGCACACACAATTTATACAGTATACTAGTGGCCCAGTGCACAAATTTGTGCACACTGAAAGGAAATTAATTAGAAGAAATATTTTAATATCACTATTCATCCTTTATAATAGAAGTGTCAACCAATTCATGATCGACAATGACAGATTGAAACACACGTGTATGAGTGGCACCAGTGAGAGCTTTATATGTATCGCGCATGCCCGAATCAACTTAGCCTTTTATATATACACTAGAGGCCCAGTGCAAGAAATTCATGCACTTGTGGGGGTGGGGGTGGGGTCCCCTCTCCCTCAGCCCGGCCTGCACATTCTCGCAGTCCAGGAGCCCTCGGGGGATATCTGAGTGGGGCTAAGCCAGTCGGACATCCTTAGCGCTACTGCGGAGACAGGAGAGGCTCCCACCACCACCGCTGTGCTTGCCAGCCATGAGCCCAGCTCAGGGCTTCTGGCTGAGCAGCACTCCTGTGGGAGCGCACTGACCACCAGGGGGCAGCTCCTGCATTGAGCGTCTGCCCCCTGGTGGTCAGTGAGCGTCATAGTGACTGGTCGTTCTGCCTTTCAGTCAATTTGCATATTAGCTTTTTATTATATAGGATAGAATAAACTTGCTTAATTAGACCTGCTTTCTGATTTAGCTAAACTTTTTCCAGCCTAGTGAAGCACCACAACTTCTCTTTCAGGTAACTGAGCAACATAGCAGTAAATATCAATACGAAGCAGATTATTATTGTAGATCATGCAGGGAGAACAAAGGGTAAAATATTTAACTGCAGCAGTGTTTGACTATATTCTGCGCAGTGAGAAAACCTGAAGTCATTTTCAAGGTCCACCATTTCTTACTTCTTTTCAGTAGGGTCAAATTTCTAAACTTTCTAAATCTCCGTTTTCTGGCTAATGAAAAGAAAGTAGGATTCTACCGAGTCTCCTATCTACCTACTCCAGGACTTCTGTGAGGATCAAATGAGATGAGGCACGGGAAAATGTTTCACAAATATTTGGTTGAACTGTAAAATGTTTGCACCTGGCTATAAAGCAAGTCGTGTTCCTGGGCTGAAGAAGCTCCAAGGAGGCTAGTCGCTAGGGAGAGGAAGCCAGGTGTTGCTACATAACGTCATTACCTGGCGCCCACAGCCACGTTTCTGGGCTGCGCTTGGCTGTGGGCCACATTTTGCACCATGGGGTCTTGGCAGCTTTGGCTGCGATTTGGTGGGGTGTCGCTCCGGGGTGGTGGCGGGGCCTGTGTCCCACTTGGGGTAAGCCAAGTGTTGCTTTATGGGCGCCAGGTCCACGGTGCCGTTTCTCTGTAAATGGCCAGTGCGTGTCACAGCAGCTCCTGGGTCGAATGTCTGCCCCCTGGTGGTCAGTGTGCGTCATAGCGACCGGTTGGATGAACACTTAGCATAGTAGCCTTTTATATATATAGATAATACCTGATAATGATAATAAGCAACTGTTAATGGTTTATGTATTTACTATACTATACTATACTATACTTAATTTACATATATACATATATATATATTTATTGATTTCAGGGAGGAAGGAAGAGAGATAGAAATATCGATGATGAGAGAGAATCATTGATCAGCTGCCTCCTACATGCCCTCTACAGGGGATCAAGCCTGCAACCCGGGCCCTTGACCAGAATCGAACCTGGGACCTTTCAGTTTGCAGGATGACACTCTACCCACTGAGCCAAACCAGCTAGGGCTATACTATACTTTTTTTTATACTATACTTTTTATCATTATTTTAGAGTATACTGTGTTTTTGGTTGTTGTTAATCCTCATTTGATATTTTTTCCATTGCTTTTCAGAGAGAGTGAAAGGGACGAAGGGAGGGGAGAGAGAGAAAAAGAGAAACATTGATGTGAGAGAGACATATCTACCAGCTGCCTCCAGTATGCACCGAAGGGCAAGAGCGAACTTGCAACCCAGGCACATGCCCTTGACCGGGAATTGAACAAGAGACCCTTCAGTGTGCAGGCCAGTGTTCTTACCACTTAGCACCCGGCCAGGGCTAGACTGTACTCTTTACTTCAGCCTCATACACCTCATGTTTACCGTATCTCTTGATTGCATCATTTTCTTTTGTTTGATTTAATTTTATGTTGTTTTGTACAGTAACATGCTGTATAGACTTGTGGTCTAGGAGCAATAGGCTATACCAGCAATTTTCAGCCTGTGTGCCATGAGAAGTTTTAAACATGCAATAACTGACTATTTAGTCAAGGGCACTAACTTCTTTTCCTTTAGATTGTCAAATAAAAAAATGACAACAGCCAACACAATAGCCATCGGGTGTGAATGAATCAAAATTATATGTTTGTTTTTTTTTGCCAGATCAGCAAAATATATATTTTTTGGTGTGCCACAGAATTTTAGTAATTAGTAATTAGTTTATGTGCCATGAGATGAAAAAGGTTGAAAAATGCTGACCTACACCATATAGTAAGTTGGCTATACCACCTAGGTTTATTAGGTACATTCTATAATCTTTGTACAACAAAATTGCTTAACAATGAATTTCTTAGAACATATCCCCATTGTTAAGTGGCACGTGATTGTAGCTTCAAAGTTATTAGGCTCAAATTTCAAAGAACACACACATATACTTATCCCTCAAAATAATAGCAAGGAAATTTAAGGAATATTTTAAGTAGGAAGATTGGTTTTGCACTCCTATTAAGAATGCCTTCTCTTATTTTGGAAATCTCCTAAAACTGCACTGGGTAACGTTAACAACCTAAAATTGCCATGGGTAACAATAGTTGCACTAAGTTAATACTATATAAAACTCCATTTCCTGAAGGAAATAAGGTACCTGACCAAAAATTTTATTTAGCAAATTTTCTGAATACATACACAAAATATATTAATGTATAAGTTACTACAGGTTACTAAACTTTTCCCCTAAAGAATTAATGATGACCTTTTTACAGCAGTGATCCACAACTAATCTCCAAATCAGCCTAAATTGAAAACTGTATTAAATGCAAAATAACCCTAAATATTTGAAAAAAAACACAATGGTTTTCAAGAAAATTATTCCTATCAGAAAATAAAGCAACAAATAACCACAAGCATTTTGATAGTTGATAGGCCTTTCAAAAATATAATACTAAAAAATGTGTGAAATCCATCTATTATCATAGTTAGTTAATATTAATCATTATTTGTTGGAGGAAGGGAATGATTAGTTACACTGTTGCCTTAAAGTTCATGGTTGATCTAAAATCTGAAAAATCTGCTCACTACTTTTACTGGTTTAAACAGGTATGTGTGCACTTAGTTTTTATTTTTAAAAATCCTTTCTTTAAATGCACTTTTGAAAAATTTGCATTTTTACCCTAGAAATATGAGTACTGATTCAAAAATATAAATCTGAATCCTTCTAATGGCTCCTAGTTGCAATATGATGCATGGTTTATTGGAAGAAGTGAAACAGAACTGAATCAGTGTGCCCTTAGCCAATTACTTGCCTTTGAGCCTTGCTTTCCTCACTTATGAAATGGGAATAATGATCGTCCTAAACTCATATGGTTGTTGTGATGATTGAAGACTATTCATAGGACCTGGTACAGAGTGAAAAGATCTGGCCCTATTTCCCTCTTTTACACCTCAAGTTGCCTGAACATACCTAGCTATTTCATGACTTTTTGTAGGTTTCTGACTTCTACCACCCCACTTCCTTGGGTCCGTCTGACAAATGTTTACTTGTCAGTCAAGACCCACTTCCAGGATCACCTTCCTCCCATGGAATTGTACTTCTCACCCTGCTTTATAATTACTTTTTAACCCATTCCTGAGAATGCTAAAGGAAGGACCAATGGCTCAGTCATCTCCATATTTCTCAGCACTAAGCAAAATCTCCAGTACATGGTAGATGGTCAATAATGACTGCAGAATACACATAATTGGGTTTTCCACCATACTATGATATTAGCAAAGTGCCAAATGTGAAATGAACTAAGACAGAACCTTGGAGTTAAAGCTGTACCCACATGTTTGATAAGCATCAGATTCTTTTAGTTTTCAAGGTGAAATTTTTAAAAGTCACCTACTGTATGCAGCTAGGCCACCCTATTCATGCAAAAGAATAGTAGGAGTAAACGTTCTTGTCATTTTCATTTTTTCTTCCATGGCAGCATCATCCTGCTTTGGATTTAGATTACATCCTGACTTCATTGGGACTGTTTTCAAACAACAGAGCACACTGATGTACTTTCCTATCAAAAGCAAGGGTGCCAGCTATTGTGCTAGCCCCTGTCACTCACCTCAGCCACCTGCTGGGTCCCCACTCTGTGCTGAACCAGCCCCTCCATATTTGTAGCCATGGTGAAGCAAGATCATTAGAGAACCTGTTTGGAAAGATGCAGCAACTTCTATCAGGTGGGGAGAAACCAGGCTACTTGAAAAATATCAGCAATCAAAATTCATCTTTGGTAATGTTTTGTACAGATTTTCCCCTCTATAGAAAACAAGGCTAAGCATATCTGGATATGCTGCACCAAATTCTTCAATGACAGGTACCAAATTTAATTAGCATAAACAATATTATCAAAGTGTCAAATGTGGAATGAACTAAGACAGAACCTTGGAGTTAAAGCTGTACTTTCAATTTGGAAACAAGACTTCCCTTGGTAAATATAGACAAAGATGGATTTGGAACTTTAATTACCAGGTCTCTTGGGTTGTAACAGCTTGGTTCACCTCTCAGGGAGGTGGGAATCATACCTTTTTGTTTAGCTCCCTGCAACATTATGCTGAATAAGAAAGTGGCTATCTGAGAAAGGCGTGGTCAACTTTGAATACGGAGCAGTAGATTGCTATCATCAACTATACTTCTGTTACTATTGGCAGTGTGAGAACCCTACCCAGGTGCTAACACACCTCACTCTTAAGTGAAAAGGCAAATACTATCATTAACAAAGAAAAAAGTAAGTAGACTGCATTACTAAAGTGGGCTAAGAACATAGTACCCATACATTTATCATTTATATTTTAAGTCTTCATTAAATTAGGAAAACAAGACAATTCAGCTTCCTATTAATAGAATAACAACAACAGTGTGATCATTTGTAAAAATTGAGGAAGATCATCTAAAGACCAAAAATTGTGCTAGTCTCCTGGGCCAGGATCATTTGAGTACTAGCATTTTTGATGTAACAGATCTCCTGGTCTCTTCAGGTCATAAAACATAGCTACCGTGAATAGTCCTTAAACCCATGCCATTAGAATACTCTACCACAAAGAATTCAGGATAAAGAAATTCCACTTTATATCTAATTCCTGGACAAATCAGAAAGACTTCATTATTGACTGCACAGGTCCCATGATAAACAAGAGAACAAAGCTCTGGTATTTATTTCCAGCATTTACATATAAAAACTATATGGTACTACTGAATGTATAATATACACAAATGCATACACATTTCATTTGTTTGGCCCTTCCTCAATCACAAATTAGACTACTTCACAATGTAATTTTATAAACACTTTCCTGTAGTTCTTACCTAAAATATTATCCTACATAATAAAAGCCCAGTGACCAAATGGCGGAACCACCAGGGGGCAGACGCTCAACGCAGGCGGTCAGTGCGCTCCCACAGTGGGAGCGCCACTCAGCTAACAGGGGTGAGCGGCACTCCCACAGTGGGAGCAGCCACTCCGAGGGTGGGTCCACAGCTGCTCAGCTGACCGATCCCCACAGGCCATGCCCCCCACCAGTGCATGAATCCCGCACACTGGGTGTCTAAGTAGTACTTATAAGCACTGATCTCCATCAAGCCTTTCCACTCTCTGATGACTTCCTATATCATTCTATCCACTATTAGATAGTTCCTTCTATGATCATAATTCCCCTTCATATTACTTTATTGCCAACATGGTAATGAGAGAGATAGGTGCATGAAACTGTGATTGATAAATATAAAATAATTGGCCCCTGCCTTCAAGGAGACAACATCCTGTAAGAGCAGGTACTGCACCAACTGCCACAAGGATACCAGGTCACCAGTGTCAGTAATTCATCTTCACATAACAGTACATGATCTGAAATTACAGAGGTAGTGTTTCTGGTTATTTATTCTTTTTAATAAGTAGTTAAGACTTTTAACTTTTGTTTACTTTTCATTGTTTCTAGAAGAAAAATCATAGAGAAACACTCTGATCTTTTCCCCTAGTTATAGTTTAGTTCCAACTAAAAGAAATAGAGGAAAAAAACATCATTTCACATGTATCAGAAAAGTTTCTTAACAACTTGACTGTTGTTAAAAACACAATTATTGCATGTGAAAAGTCTAGAGTTCCTTCTTTTTCTATAAAAACAGAGCTCTCAAAAGAACTAAGGAATAAAGTGGATAAAGATAGCCAATAGGTATTATATAAGAAATAAAATCTAAACATGCAGCTGCAACTATTAATTTTACCACTTTTAGGTGTTACAAGCATTTCTGTTGCTGTTATTAACAGCTGTTTGATGCAAGAAATTTATGAATTTGAATATCAGAAATATCAATTGGGAATATTATTATTTACTATAGAAATAAGAGTACTAGAAAGACATATCTATTGGGTTTCCCTAAAAGAGGTAGCTTAATCCTTCAAGTTTTGAGTTGAAATGGATTTAATAGATGACTGATGGCCTGATAAAGATGACTTAGTAACTCAAAAAATTGTCTGTAATGACTCACTTGAACACTAAATTTACAGGCCAATCAACCTCACATAGGACTTGGGGGCTCCAAGATACTGCTAACGACCAGTGATTCTAGATGTTAGGTCACAAAGGAAGATGTAGTAATTAACATGTTTAGTTTAGAAAAGTTAAATATTAATTCTTTATTGATTACATAAATTATAAATATCTTCTGCTATGTAGCACATCTATTTACTTTATGGTGTCTTTTGATGAATAGCAGTTCTTAAATTTAATAAGGCTGAATTTGTCAATATTTTCTTTTATAATTTGTACTTTTATGTTTTATTTATAAAAATCCTATCCTACCTGAAGGTCAAAAGTATAATGTTATGCCCTGGCCGGTGTGGCTCGAGCAGTTGCAGCGGTTCTCAACCTGTGGGTCGCGACCCCTTTGGGGGTCGAACGACCCTTTCACAGGGGTCGCCTAAGACCATCTGCATATCAGATATTTACATTACGATTCATAACAGTAGCAAAATTACAGTTATGAAGTAGCAACGAAAATAATTTTATGGTTGGGGGTCACCACAACATGAGGAACTGTATTAAAGGGTCGCGGCATTAGGAAGGTTGAGAACCAGAGTTAGAGCATCATCCCATGCACCGAGGGGTCGTGGATTCAATTCCCAGTCAGGGCACATACCTAGGTTGCGGGTTCAGCCCCTGGTTGGGGCACATGTGGAAGGCACGCGATAGACATTTCTCTCTTTCTCTTTCTCTCTCTCTCTCTCTCTCCCTCCCTCCCTCCCCTCCTTCCCCTTTCCCCTTCCTCATTCTCTAAAATCAATAAAAACATATCCTTGGGTGAGGATTTTTTAAAAAGTATAATGTTATGTATTATAAATGTCAAAGAGTTTTGTCCCTCACATTTAAGTCCTCAATCCATCTGCAAATTGATTTTTGAGTTTGATGAGAAGAATCCATTTTTTCCCCCCTTGTATGGATAATCAATTTTCCAGGACCATTTCTAAACAACCTATCCTTTTTGCCTACCATATCTCAGGCTCAATGTGTGGATGTAATTCTAGGTTCCCTATTCTATTCCACTACTGTTCTACTTATCTTTCTCCATGCCACTACCATTATCTTATTACTGCAGCTTTATAATAAACCTTGCTCTGTTAGGGCAAGTGCACCCCCCCACCCCATTTTGCTCTCTTGCCCATACCAACTTCCTAGACTATCTCAAACACTCATGACCCGGAGCAGCAACCTTTCTTTATAACTTAAATTCTTACAATTCTTGATCTCACTCTTGGCTTTCTGCCTCCAAAGCAGCTTCAGGCATCATCAACAGCAGTTTTGGAACTGCTTAAAAATGAACAAGGAGGAATGTGCACCTTCTGGAAAAATAAGCAAAGACAAAGAGTAAGAATAACATTGAGAGAGGTATTGAAAGAGAAATTATGAAAAGCAAGTGCTTTCAATAAAGATTTAAATCCAGTGAAAGCAGGTGAGAGGGTAATTTCAAAAAATATTTTCCATTTCATCATTTTTGAAAATATGCTAAGTCACAAACCATATTTTATTCTCATATATAAATAAGAAAGAGGGCCTTCTTTCAGGATATCACAATGAAAGACATCAGGGAAAATATTTAACTCAAGTGCATAGGTTAAAAAAAAAAAAGATAATGCCAGAGGGTAAGATTCTCACCTGAGAGCTTCTCTTACTGCTACTACAGAAATAGGTAATCCTAAAGACAGAAAGACCACATAGTAGGAAGGAAAGGTAGAGCACTTTGACAATGGTTGTCAATTAGGGGGCATCCCCCTAAAATGAGAAGCCCCAGGGAACAGTGTATTGTGCCCACATGTAGTTTGAAAAACCAGTCACTAGCACAATATAATTTTGCATTTGAAGTCTGAAAAAAAAAAGAACAACCTACTGTTTTGATACTACAAACTAGAAAAAAAAAAACATTTAAAAACAACCTTCTTGGCTGGTGGAGCTAAGCATGGTAATACTGAGAGTAACTGACATTTCCTGAATGATTATTATACACCAGGAACTGTACTTATAAGCACTGTGAACAAAACATTATTTTTCTTGGTACGGAAACTTGAGGTCTTCAAAGGTTGGTCCTTGACCTATTCGGCTCCCTAACCCTTGAAAATTGCTCCCACACACAAATAATGTTCCCGGAAAAGACCAAATAGCTTAAGTAAAAAAAGAAACTGCTACAGAATATTTTTCAACGGTAATTTTAAGCTAATCAAGTTGAAAAACTACCAATCCTTTTTAAGCAACTGCTGTGAAATAGTAAATGAATTGACTGCTGAGAATTAACAATGACATTAATAAAAGGAGGAGAAAGTCTTTGTCCTTGAAGAATTTTAGAAGGAAACCAATAAAAGCTATGCAGCGTTAAATGCTACAATGAATATCCAAAGGAAGAAGCATCTCGCTCTGCTTGTGGTAGTTTTATAGGAGAGAAGCTGGGTCTTGAAGGAAGAGTAGAAATTCAATAAGCAAAGAGGAGAATGGGGAGAGTTCTAAGCAGAGATGACAGCTCATACAAACTGGTAGGTATGAAAGAGAACGACATATTTGAGGAACAGTAGGAAATCTGGTGTGGGATTATTGGAGAGGTCAGGGGAGGAGAGAGACTGATACAATAGATAACAGAGAACTATCAGAGGTTTGGCAGAAAAAT